GACGAATAGGACCAACACTTGAGGACCAGCAAGAGGACAACTTTCTATACGCGCGCACATTTAAATTTACTTTAGATTCTTCACAATGAAAATCACCACATTTTTCTATATAGTAATAACAGGCCTTCATGTTCATGCACAAATAGTGATAGCCTCAACAATAAATGACTTCAAAAAGAATAAAGATTTTCAACTCAATGATGAGCTTGAGACCATTTCTGTTAAGCTTGGTTGCTGGTGAACCAAGCTGAAGAAAGACTCAGCTCGTTCATGTCGGCTTATTTACACAACTATATCTCACAAGCAATGTCTTCCGCCGCTCATCATTTCTCATGTTTCATTGTACGCTTGTCTTCCAAGCACATTGTTCGCACATACATTAAAGCTAACTTCACAATCTAAACAGAGCATAATGATCAAAAGCGAGAAACGTAACCAAAACACTTGTCAGGAACCTCATGAAAACGACATTTGCCATTGTCCCGTTCCTATCCGGCCGCCGTAAATGATACCATCGTCGAACCCAGCTTGAGACATCCGTTCATGCTTCCTCTGTCACCTGAGTAGCCAATGCTGTGGGGGCTTGGAGTTGCCTCCCCTTCAACACCCCATTCGTCCCTCCACATAATTGCCCCAAATTTCGGAAGAAATATTACATCACGCACTTAAAAGTAAAAGTAAAGTGCGTGCCCAATCAAAACACGTCACGATATCTCGTACGTTAGAGTAAAAAAACGGCGCAGTAACACGGGAAATATTCTCTTCTCGGAAGAAATATCACATCACGCGGCCAATCAAAACACGTCACGTCGGCGCAGTAACACGGGAAATATTTTTTCCTGTGTTATTTATGTATTATTACGCGTTATTCATGTGTTATTGCGTGTTATTCATGTGTTATTGATGTGTTATTGTGTTATTATAACACCAAGAATATTTTCAAGATACAATAACACATGAATAACACACAATAACACTTGAATAACACGGGAAATATTCCCGACAGAGAAAAAAACGGCGCAGTAACACGGGGGAATATTCTCTCCCGTGTTATTCTTGTATTATTGTGTGTTATTCATGTGTTATTGTGTTATTATAACACCAGGAATATTCTCAGGATACAATAACACATGAATAAAAAACACACAATAACACATGAATAACACGGGGAGGAATATTCCCCGTGTTACTGCGCCGTTTTTTTTCTGTGTCGCGCGGGATATCGTGGCGTGATTTCATTGGGTACGCACGTTCCTCTACGTGCGTAGTACTGATGTAATATTTTTTCCAATCTCGCCGGCATCTTAGAACACCGCCGGCCAAAAAAATCGTTGCTCTCGAGGCACACTTAATAATAACTCAATACTACCAATATTATCAACCCTAAACCCTAAATATTACTATTTGTGCTTACACAATTTGAATGTAATAATTTCTTTCATTTTTTGCCCGCTTATCAAAAAATATCATGTCTGGAGTCTGAACACAACTATGAGTTTTATCTCCAATAAAATCTTACCACGCGGAAGCTCTAGTCTCCTTAAATACGAAATCTTTGTGCTTACACAATTTGAATGTAATACTTTCTTTCATTTTTGGCCCGCATATCAAAAAATATCATGTCAAGAGTCTGAACACAACTATGAGTTTTATCTCCAATAAAATCTTACCACGCGGAAGCTCTAGTCTCCTTAAATACGAAATGAATGAACGTTTTATTTTAACATATCACCCAACCCAATCCAGCCCAGTTCTTCTAAAACAAAGCTCTTCGTGCCGGATAGAGTTTCGCAGGGCAAAATTCTCACTCTCTCTTGTCGGACAAAAAATATTGATAATGAAATATATAAAAAATGGTGAAACTCGAACTCGAACTCCGGATGAAATATTTTTTACTATGAAAAACTTCCACACCACTGACGAAAAGAAATAGGTGAGATTTATGAAATTGAGATTTCCACTTCCACTTATAAATTATTTGATCATTACATAAATTATTTTTTTTAATAATTACGAAGAAATCGTCTGAAATATTGATATTTACAAATTAATGTTGTTTATTTGAGCCAACGAACCGGTGCATCTACGCTTGACACTATCAAATTATTGAGAACTTCGATAAAAATGAAAATTACGGTTTTGAGTTTTGCTACGAATTTTGATATTTGAGTGAGAATTTGAAACTTGGACGAAAGAGGTGATTAATTTGTAAATAACAAGTTTAGGGTGGTCGATATGTAATTGCCCTTGTATTTTTTTTAATTTTTCTTAAAATATTAATATTCATAATAAAATTTTAGCTCTTATTTATTGATTTTAATAATTATTTTTTCAACCATTCTTAATAAAGAAATGACTTAGTAATATTGATACTTTTTTATGTGCATTTACATACATTCGCAGTCCAATTCTTATGTATTTACATATTTAACATCAAAATTTTGATTAGTATATTTATGCCTCGAAATCATTCATATTATATTAAAAATATTATTATTTTAACTTAATGAAATAAATAAATATTATTATTTTAACTTATGAAAGTAAAATACACCTTTCACTTATAGATAAGATGTTATATATGTAAAAATTTGAATTTTAGTGTTAAATATTTAAGAACTGAGTGGTATGCATGTAAATCTTTAAATTTTTGTTTCGATATATTTCAATAATTTTAATTTTTTTATATGAATATAATATAATTTTTTTACTATTCATAAAATAAATTCAATAATTTTAAGTCCTAAAAGTATAGCAGCTATTCTGACAGAATTTTTTTAAAAAGCAAATAAATAAATAAATAAATAAAACTGCAAAATGTCAGAAACTATTATTATGTTTTTTGAAAGAAACATTATAATAATTTTAATTAAAAATAATGTTTTTTTGTAATAATTTTGAAAGTAACTGGTTGACCGTTGAGTCCAACCCATTAATTTAAATTTATTATTTGTTTTATATTTTGTTTGATTTGTATTTTAAAATTATTATTATTTGTTTTATATTTTAAAATCTTCTTCTTGTTTCCGAAAATTGTTTAATATAATTATAAATTTATTAGCTATTTTTTATTGGATAAAAATAGATAAAAATATAGCATTTGCAATTATATTTATAATTTATTTTCACAAAATTATTCTTATTTTGTTTATGCATTAAAATCCATAAATCCACAAAATATTTGCATAGTCAATTAATGCAAAAATTACACATCACCAATCCGTAGGACGGAATCATAGGGTGGGCAAAATCATCAAATATATATATTTTTTAAGTATTCGGCAAAAAATATATCGAAAATGAATGAAATTACTAAATTGCCCAAACTAAATTAGAAAAAAAAATATTATATTTTATTATTTAAATTAGAGATCGTAGCCTTCAAAGAGACCAGTTGCCTTCCCTGAACATGATGCATGAAAACAACTTGTAAAGCTTGTTCCACTCATTAGAGTATAAGCTTTACTTCTCCACACGTTTTGTATGATAAAATAAGGGGAATTTACATACATGCCACACAATTCTTATATATATACATATATAACTTCCAAACTTTCATGTTTAAATAAGTAACATTCAAATAGTTGATATAGCATCAAATATACCACTAACCCTAACACGTTAAAAGTAAAATATGCATTTTCATGCATGAGTTCTAATTATCAATTTATTATAAATATAAACATCAAATTTAAGTGGGGGTATGCATGTAAGTTTTTCTTAAAATAAAAAATCTCATTTTTTATCTGCGCTTCTTCAAAATATTGTCTTTATTAATTATTGGGCAAAAATAGGATTAAGTATGAGAAGACACCTTGACTTATATGAAAAGTTAAGCCATGTAAAAGACAAAAAATTACGAGACCTAGCCCAACTGAAATAATCCACTATATAATTATGAGTACATAGATCTAATCTTTATTTTAATTAGGAAAAATGAAGTTTATAAAGTTGTGCAACAATTAGTTCATCGATAATAAATGTAATATAGTTGTAAAGAATGTAGTTCTCGGCGATAGAAAGCCGCAATGGTCATAGTCGATTAATGTGAAGGCAATACTCCGTCGTGAACGATGTAGACGGTGGTTATAGCACCAACTTGCCTTAGAGGTCGTGGTTAAAATTCATGACAGTAGTTGGCTATGTGATCATTGATGATTATTTCAAGAGTGTTGGTTGGCCATATAGGTCATAATAATGAGCTACAGGAGTTGTCAGTCACGTATGTCGTAGTTGGTCACCTACGCCGTAACGGTGTGATGTGATGACATATGTAGATGCTGAAATTTGGAGCTGCATGAGCTATGACAATATTTGTATGCCTTAAATAAATCTGCTTAGAGTTTCAAAATGCCACAACTCTATTTAGAGAGATTGATTTTATTAGCTTTCAAAAATTTATATGATGAAAAAAATTTTTTTTTTAAACCTGACATGTTAAAGCGCTATAATTATAAAAAACATATTAGCAATTTTTTTGAAAAAAATATGACCTTCTAAGCAGTTGTTTTATCCACCACAACCCTTACGATCACCTTTTTAAAAAACTACAACCACACCAAACAAATCCTCAAGCAAGACAATGAGTCTGGGTAGGGCGATCGTAATTTTGTAAAGATGATTGTAACATTCATGGATAAATTAATTTTTGTAAGACATTATTAAAAATTAAAAAATTATTTTTTTCTAATTGAGATAATAACTTTCATTTCATCACATTTTAACACATGATTGTCAAAAACAGCATCTCATTTAAAAAAATAAAAAAAAAACTTGAAAAACAAGGAAAAAAAGGTTCCACAAAGAAGATTGTAATAGCAGGCAGAAAAACATCTCAAAAAGATGCTAAATTATTAATTGCAGTTTCTACAAAATGAAAGATGCACAAACAAACAAATTTGCTCACCACCAATTATATGTTAATCAAGCCTGATAGCAATCACATACATAACTTGAAAAAAATAAAGAGAGGGAAAACCATAGGCGTGCTGGAGACTTAGTACATGGAATATATTAATATATACATTGCAAGAATTCCCACAATTTTTACTCCTAAGATCTACTGAAGTGAGTTTCAACGAAATCTGAAGCAATATAAAATAAGTCCCTATAGTTAACATATCTCACAACCCTAAACCCTAAGACTGACGAATTAATACAATAAGGCCAATCAAAGCCTGGGAAAGAATACAAAGAGACTGATCCTACCAAAGCTTCACTGCTACACTGACCTCTAAACCCCAAATCTATCTGCTATAATCTCATCTCGAGTGTCATGAAAATCGAGGAGTCAAGGAAATTCATGAATGAGAGAACTTCAATCTAAAAAGATAATTTACAGAGATTATAGAAAGGATGCTTACAAGAGCCGATGCTGCCGAAGTCCTTTACTGAAATGCGGCTGCATTAACCGAACATAGAGTCCATTCATCTGAACCAACGCATCATGGCTGCCCTGCTCGACTATCTTGCCGCCATTAAGAACCACAATGTTATCCACATGTCGCATCATAGCCGCTCTATGAGCAATAAGTATAGTCGTCTTGTTCCCTATAACTAGCGTATCAAGTGCTTCTTGAACAACTCGGCTCGACTCAGACTCGATGGCGGAGCTCGCTTCATCTAACAGCAATATAGGCGCATTTTTTAGAACTACACGAGCAATAGCGATCCGCTGCTTCTGACCGGGTGTTAAATCGACTCCTCTCATGCCAACGTGTGTGTCGTAGCCATGGGGCAAACTGCTGATAAAATGGTGGGCATTCGCTATTCTCGCCGCTTCTTTCATTTCGGCTTCGGTCGCATTATGTCGAGCATATATGATGTTCTCTCTGATTGTGGTTGAGAAGATGATGGGCTCCTGCTGTACCAAACCCATGTGGCTTCGCAACCATCTTAAATTAAAATGCTTTAAATCACGACCGTCCAATAGGATCTGGCCAGAAACAGGATCGTAAAATCTCTCGATTAGGGAAATAATCGTGCTCTTTCCGGAGCCAGAAACACCCACCACGGCAACCGTTTGTCCGCCGCCAACTTTGATACAGAAATTATTCAGCACCATTAGATCGGGACGATTTGGATAGCAAAAGTCGATGTTTTTAAGCTCGATGCTTCCATAGACGGTCGGCGGTTTAACGCCAGAGTTGTCATCCGGATCTATCACAGGAACTCGGTCGATAATTTCGAATACGGAAATGAGTGAGTTCCTCCTTTTTAAGATATAAGGAGCTAAACCAAAAGGCTCGACTAATGCGAAGGTGGCGAAGGAGAAAACCATGTATTCTTTGAGAGCTGTGACTAGTTTGAGGTGGCCGTTATGAACGGAGACGGCGGTGTACCAAAGGAGAAGAGCATTACAGGAAAAAAGTAGGAATTGTGAGAAGCCGAAGGCGAAACCAATACCCATACCATGGAAAAAGCTCTTCTTTAATATTCCACTTAGCTGCAACCCATAAAGTTCCATCACCTTGTTACCGGCACAGAATGCGACGACGGTGTAGATGTTCCTAACGGCATCTTCAAGAACCAAAGAGGCCTTCCTGTGCATCTCCTGGATGCCTCTTGAGAATCCAGCGAGCCACATTTTCTGCAATGAGTAATGGATATGATTAAGCATTGATTCATAAAATTGATAACGAAATATAAGGATCAATTCTCATGAAGGTTTCTAAGCAAGTTTAAAAGTTAGAATTTAAACTATGCATTATATAAAAGCAGGTTTCAATCAATAACTGAAGGAAAAGCATGAACCCAGAAGGTAACAACGTTCTTCACAAAAAACTGCCAGGAATATCAACCACATATGAGAGGAGTTGATGGAGATCTAAAAGTTCGAGATATCATTTCACGTATATTTATCAATTATCCTTTTTCCTAGTTCATTTTAAAATGTTTAAAAAAGGGCATTTACATCCATACTACCTATTCCTACGTATTTTCATATCTAACTCCTAAAACTTACTTTTTACATTTGTACCACCCAAAACTTTCATGCCACATTAAAAAATACCATCACTTTAAATTTTAAAAACTGGAATACACCTTTTCTTGCATACACAAGATGGCATGTATGTAAAAATTGAAGTTTAGATGTTAGGTAAATAAATACATAGTAATTGAGTGGTATGTACGTAAATCTTCCTAAAAGAACATGCCTACGACGTAAACTGCTATATGAATGGGAAGTAGTCTAGTATTTTGAATCATTTGTTAGGTGAAATACATCCCTAAAAAGCTGGAACTTTCCGCCTAAGCAAATATATGATCTTCATTGCCACTAGTTACACAATGTCTGCATGTTATTTCTGTTACAGGAGTTCCCAACCATTAATGCATGCTTCCCACAGCTTCAATTTTGTCACATCTGTAGTTCTTCCACTTTTGGGTTGTTTTGTAACTCTCCTTGTTGGCCCCTCACTACCGCTCTTGAAGTTCCACCAAATCACCGTGCAGCCACTTTATGCCTCCCCTATTTGCTCCTCCAAGTCACGGATACAGTCCCTCTGCTCTTTACCGCCTCTCTGTTTGGGATATTTACATCCGTGGCACAGAATTCTTATGCATTTACATATCTCACCCCTAAACTTACAAAGTTACATACATAGAACTTCCATACTTCAAACCTATGCATATAAAAGAGTGTTTCACTTTTAAAATGTGGTAATGATAGTGATAGTGTTATTTTTTTATGTGATATTAAAGATTTAAATGTTGCGTGTGTAAATATAAAAATTTAGGTGTGAGATATGTAAATACATAAGAATTGTGAGCCACTCAAGTAAACGCCCCTTTCCTACTTTATTGGTCCTTCGAAATCTATAAACAGGACGGAAAAATGCGAAAAAAAATTCATTGGGCATTGAATGGTAAAATAATAAATCAACAAAAGGACCGAACATTTGTCACTGCCGATAATTCCGTCCCTGTTCGTCCTTCAGTCCAACATCAAAATTACTCCACCATCAATCACAAAAACATCATAAAACTCCAGCAAAAATTAACTTTCAAAACTCAATTCAAGTTTTGAAACACTGCCTGATAAATATAAATAAATAATATTCAGCGGTAATATATTTTACCTATAATGCTCATGCTATGCGTGAGAGGCTAAAACATTTGCGCATGCACGCTTTACTGTAACTGCAAGCATGAATAAGTACTAAAAATGAAATTATATCCATGAAATAGCACACATTCACAAAGAAATAAAATCACTAAATACAGAAGAATAAGTAGCAAATCACTATCATAAATTTAACGATTAAAGCGATATTAATAATTATATTTTCCTGGCCAGATAAACATGGCACTAGAATTATTTAACACCGAAAGGAAGCTTACCATTATATTAGCTCACCTGTGCAATAGCAGAGACTGTAAGAACGGGCAAAGTGGCCAAAGCAACTAATGCAATCCGCCACTCGAGTAGCATTCCGATAACAACAGCCACAACGACAGCGGCAGTGTCCTGTATAAATATCGAAAGTCTATTACTGAAAGCTGCACGAACAAATGTGGCGTCATTTGCCAAGCGCATTGATAATATGTCCACACTGTTCTCGTCCTCATCATACCATCCTACTTCGTTGCGTAACATGGCTGAAAAGCACCAACGTTAAGCTCAGAATTCACCCACATTTCAACTTTAACATGACTGTCAGATAAAATAAAAAATAAAAAATAAAAATAACTAAGGGAGAATTACATGATTATCGCACAATTCTTATATATTAAGATATCTAACACCTATACTTTGATATTTACATGCACAACACTGAAATATTTAAAATCTCATCAACAGTGCCACTGTTACTAACTTTTTAAAGGTGAAATACGCTTTATCATGCATAGGTTTATAACACCAAATTATTATAAATATAAATAACAAACTTTAGGAGTTAGATATATGTATACATAAGAATTGTGTGGTGTGCACCTAAATTTCCCAAAACTAAGAGATTTCCTAATACTAATTACCCGAGAACATCATCCTTCGAATTCGCTCGGTCATCTTCTCCCCCATAATGCCGAAATAAAAATGTTGCAAAAAATTTGCAAGCACAGTGATAAGGCCCAAACAAGAAATGACGAGACACCATTTGTTAACTTCATTTTGAACATCGTCAACACCAATTCTATAATATGCCGCCATTATCAATGCGACAGTGTAAGCAAAAATAGGATTAAATGATCCAAAAATGGCAGCACCAACGCTTCCCAGGAGAGCATAAAGCCATTCTGTGAAACTAAGCTCAACAAGCTTCCAAAATGATGGTGGCTTCAGATGCTTCGAGTCTCCTGTGTGTCTTCGTTTCATGACGGGTGAATCATTAAACTTATTAAGTGGACGGCTGAAAGTGCTTGAATGGGAGCGCTCATTTTTGGGATCTGAAGTCAAAAGCGGAGATATGGGAGATTCTGGATCTGAATTGTTCGAGGTTTGCCGATTAAGTGAATGTACGTCGATCTTGGGAAGTTCAGGCAACCTCATTTCGAAACTATCCTGTCGTTTAATGGATGGAACTCTTTCTGTAACTATCATGGGCATCCCATTTTCCATAATTCGCTCCGAGGGAGGGCTGCGAACCTTTGGTGATTCCTGTAGGCTTCGATTACCATCCGGAAGCTTAACAGTATTAAACCCACGAGCCCTGTGAAGCGAGAAGGACTTCACCATCTTAGGAGATGATGGTTCTTGGAGAAAATGATTATCAGATGAATCCTTTTCAATTTGAAAAGTACCAGGATATTTATGATTCTTGATAGGTGTCCTGATAACAATTATATAAATTAAAATTTGTCACTCTTATCTCAGACAAAAAAAAGAAGAAAATAAATTATCTGCATTCGTTGCCCATGACATGATAGTTACATATATAGCACATTGGTGCTTTAAACTTATTCATGAAAAGGTGTGTTTCACCTTTAAAGAGTGATAATGCTATTATTTTTTTTATGCGATATTAAAGATTTGAGTGTTATGTGCGTAAATATGAAAGTTTATGTGTATGATATGTAAATATATAAGAATTGTGTGCTATGTAAATATGCCCCCCATAGGAATATGAAATTACCTTTTAGGGAGTTTTGCTGCTTCTTCGCATCTGAGAAGCTCTGCATAAAGGCCATCCAGGGTGAGCAATTCTTCATGTGTACCCATTTCTACAAGTTGACCTTCCTCCATCACTGCTATATAATCAGCATTTCTTATAAGGCCAAGACGTCTAGCTATGATTATGGTTGACCTCCCAAGCATGAGTATGTCCAACGCCTCCTGAACAGATCTTTCTGCATCAAAATCAAGACCACCTGTGACCTCATCCAGAAGAAGAATAGATGGATTTGAAAGTACAGCCCGAGCAATAGAAAGCTTTATCATTTGCTCTTCTGTTAATACTAAGCCAGCCCTTCCAACCTGGAATGCAATAGTTAAAACAAGAAGCAATGTTGAGAGAACAGGAAAAAAAAGAAAGATTTACATACATATCACTAAATTCCTATGTATTCGCATATCTAACTCCTAAACTTTAATTTTTGCATATATGTAATCTTACCTATGCATGAAAAGGTGTATTTCACATTTAAAAAGTTAAAATATTGTTATTTTTTATGTGATATTAAAGATTTCGGTGGTATAAATGTAAAAAATATACTCCAGGTATTAGATTAGTAAATACATGAAAACTGGGTCATGTATGTAAATGCCCCACCAAAGAAAGCCAAAAAGCATAAGATGGAAAGATATTTGTATACCTGTGTATCATATCCCTTTGTAAGCGAGCTAATAAATGTATGTGCATGTGCTGTCTTGGCAGCCTCTTCGATCTGATCAAAAGTAGCAGATCTCCCATATGCAATGTTGTCCCTAATGCTTAGACTTAATAATGCTGGCTCCTGTGTGACAAGTCCTATTTGGCTTCTCAACCATTCAAGCTTCAAATTTTTTATATTTTCTCCATCCAAAAGTACTTCTCCTGCAAAAAAGAAAAAAAGATCCCATGGAAAAAAAAACGTAAGTATTTAAAATAAAGCCAAGCTTCTAAAAGAGTTCTAAAAAAGCAACTTACCTAATGTAGGATCATAGAAACGTTCCATGAGAGGAATTATGCTGCTTTTTCCTGAACCATTCCTACCAACAAGAGCCACTGTTTTTCTTGAAGGAACAGTCAAGGAGAACCCACTTAGAATGGGTATTTCGGGACGAGATAAGTAGCTAAAATATACGTTGCGGAATTCGATGTTTCCTTGTACAGAAGATAGGGTATTTCCATCATGATCGGCAGTGGAAGCTGAGCGGCTTATCATCTCATAAAGTCTATAAGCAGCAATCCTCCCTTGCTCAAATGAATAGAAATTTGTTGCTGCTTGATTTAACCCCCTAAAAGAGTTTGGGAAGGAAAAAAAACATAAATTCAGGATATAGTGAAGAAATAAAAAAATCTGTCAGAGCTGCTCAAGTTCGGAGTACATACAGGCCGCTCAAAATCACAGAAAATAGAGCAGTTATGATCTCGCCGCCATTTGCTTTTGCGTGCAACACCAGGAACCTTCCAACCCAAAGTTGTAAAGCGCAAGAACATATGGCTAGTCCATATGTGAATCCAAGTCCTAGACCTTGCACAAGACTAATCAATATTCCATATCGCAGTGTTGCTTGCAGTGAAGTAGCATAAGAGTACTTTGCCAATGTCTCATTTGTAAATGCATACAACGTTTTAATGTAAGTGATGGCCTGCATCAAATATTTACTACAAATTAAAACCAATTAGGTAAAAAAATATATTGTTTTAGAAATGAAATGGGAAGCATATTCTTAAAGTTTGGAAAAAAAAACAATTCGCTTACAAGACATTGAATTGAATAAATAATTATCAGAAACGTATTATTCAGCAAAATAACTCACAAAGTTACTTTTTAAATTTTAGTGAAGTCCAAGGTAGATAATCCCAGCTGTTTCTTAGGCTTATGTGCACGTAATAGCATAGCAAACATGTTGTGCACTGGGTCGAAAGAAATGCACAAGTCAACAACACAAGTTTCAGGCTTCTGCAGCCCATTTTATATAGGCCAGTTTGCTGAATCCAGAAGTATAAAAAATAGAAAGAAAATTTACATGCATAACACTTAAGTCCTATGTATTTACATATAACTTCATTTTTTACATATATGCCATCTTACCTATACATTGAAAAAATGTAATGTTTTAAATTTTAAAGTGACAGTATTTTTATGTGATATGAAAAATTTGAGTGTTATAAATGTAAAAAGTAATGTTTAGGTGTTAGATATGTAAATACAAAAAAATTGGGTGGTATGTATGTAAATGCCCCAAAATCAAAACCTGTTCAGCTATGCTTGCAGCTTCAGCATATGCGTCTTGAATGTTCTCAGCAAGTCTATGTAGAAATATGTTTGATATGCCACCAGCAGCAACAATAAATGGACCTGTACCCAGGGTCAAGAGTGCAATTTGCCAGCAATTAATCAGACCAATGACAAGACCGCCAAAAAAAGTAGCCATATTATGTATGTAATTTCCAACCTGCAGACATAACTGCAATCTTAGAAAATAATGGCAGAAGATTAAACAAAGATGCTCAGATCATAAAAGAATTTATTTCACATAATATATAGATCTTTAAGCTAAGAAATCACATAGATCAAGTAACAATAGGAGCACATAGAAATAACCTTCTCGCTCAGAGCAGATTGAATGAGTAAAACGTCACTCAAAACTTGACTAACGATGTCTCCATTGTTCCCATAAGTATCAAAAAAGCTCATGTCCTGGTTTAGTAATACTTGGACATATTTTGACCTGATGACTGCAGTCTGCCTCTCTCCAGTAATAATCCAGCAAGAGACCTCTGCTAGAATTCAGAAAATATTAACCAAGGTGCTCAAAAAGCTAAGGGGCAGTTTGGGATCAAATTTTTATCTTTATTTTTATTTTTTAAAATTTTAATTCATTTTATTTATATTTTAATTTAGATTAAATTATGTTTGATATAGCTATTTGTTTTTAAAACACTCAAAACACCTTCTTTTAGGTGTTTTGATCGTTTTTAAGAGCAATTTATTTATTTATTAAAAAAAATTAAAAATATATAAAAACTTATACTAAACAAACATATATTTAAAAATAAAATTTAAATTTAAAAAACAATAATAATAATAATAATAATAATAATAATTTTAAATTTAAAAAATAATAATAATAATAATAATAATAAGTGATCTCATGAGGTTGTAAACATTTAACAACCCTTAAATAAATCAGCAATGTATTAAAAATAATGAAAATGAGATTAAGATAAAAAAAAAAGACTTGGACTTACCGATCCATGCAGCAGCAAATACACCAGCTGCAATATAAATAATGTACAGAGCATGCTGCCACCAGAAAATAAAACAGAACTTTCAGTAAAAAGCTAATGCAAATGGTCTCAAGCAATCAAACTGTCCATTACATTTCTTTAATTATATGAATTCAACATAGTCAACAACAATAACGACAAGCATGTATCCCACTAAGAGAGGTCGGCCACATGAATCGTTTTTTTTCCATTGCGTCCTATTGAGTGTCATATTTTCATTTAATTCTAATAAATTAAAAATCAAAATTCATTTTCTTATACAACATGCCAAGTCCTTTTAGGTTTATCTCTGCCTTTCTTAATATAAGTTGAATCTAAAACATCTACTCCCCTAACTGAATCATCATATGGTCGACATTTAATATAACAAAACCATCAAACATGACTCTAATTTTGTCTGCCACTGGAGCTACACCAAACTTATCACGAATATATTCATTTTGCATTTTATCTCTAAGTGTCAAGCCACTAATCCACCTAAGCATTCTCATCTCAGCAACACTTAACTTTGTTTTATGCTTCTCTTTTAAAGGCCAACATTCTGAGCCATAGAGCATTGCAGGTCTCACCACCATCTTATAAAACTTTTCCTTTCAATATAAGGGGTACTTTTCTATCACACAATAGACCTGATGCATTCCTCCACTTCAACCAACCAACTTGAATTCTACTAATAGCATCCCCAACTATATCACCATCACTTTGAACAACATACTTGAGAATCTAAAACATTCACATCTTTTAATGATTTGATCACTCATAGTTACAACTCCACTAAAGCTGCTACTACTATAGTTACATTCAATGTATTCAACTTTAGATCTACTTAAAAGAAGGCTTTTAAACTCTAATGTAGACCTCCATAATTGAAGTTTTTTTCCCTAAACTCTTTATCTAGTTTTATCTACAAGAAAGATATCATCAGCGAAAAGCTTACACCAAGATACATCCTCCTGTAAATGCTCAACAAGAGCATCCATTAACTAAAGCATAAATCCAAACTGATTATGAGAAATCGTTGTAGCACGTCTTAACCTATGTTCAATTACCCTCTCCCATAATTTTGAAGTACAACGCATCAACTTAATTTCTCTGTAATTTGCACACACTTGTGTTATTTTTAAAAATGAGAACCAACACTCTTCTTTCATTACTCAGGCATCTTTTTAGTTTTTAAAATAATATTAAAGAGTAGTAATCCAAGAAACTCTCAAATCTCTTAAATATTTTCACACTTCAATTGGAAAATCAATGACTATCATCAGGTCCTAGTGATTTTCCAACCCTGATTTTCTTTAAAGCCTCATCAACTGCTTTTTTACTAATGCGACGGTAAAAATAAAACATTTTACTATTATTAATGATATTAAGATTAGTAAGATAGATCGTATTTTCGGAAACTTTATCGATAAGTTTATCAAACTAGCTCTCCCACCTATGTTGAATATCCTCCTCTAGCAAAAACACTAAATGAATTTCATCTTTAATGGACTTTACTTGAGTTAAATCTTTACTTTTTTTTACTAGTTTACAAATATATTTTTCACTCTATTTAGTATCTAATCTATTATAAAAATCACTAAAAGCAAAATTTTTGGTGTCACAAATTATTCTCCAAGACTCCCTACAGGCAACCTTATATTTTTCTCAATTCTCTAAGTTTTATATTTAAATCAATTTTTATAACACAACTTCTTATATTTTATCTTTTCTTTAACATTATTATTCCACCACCATCTATTTTTATTTATATAAACTTTTCATTTGATTCTCCAAGTACATCTTTTATCACTTGTTTAATATTATTTTTGATTTTATCCCACATAGAATTTGCTTCTTCATGAGCATCCCAAATCTTGAAATATTGAAGCTTACTCATAAAAATAATTTTATTTATTTTTTAGGTACCTCCATCTAATTCTATGACAATGATTCCTAGTATTTTTTATTCTACAATTCTTCGTCTTAAAATCTAGAACTAATAATCGATTTTAAGTACTTAAATTCTCATCTTGAATGACATAACAATCTTTGCATACTTGATGATTTATTTTTCTCATAAGAAAATAATCATTTTGTGTTTTATTAGAACCATTATTATAAGTAACAATATGTTTATCTCTTTTCTTAAAGTATTAGCAACAATAAAATCATACGCTAAATTAAAATCTAATATGACTCTACCTTCTTCATTGATCACTCTAAAACCGTAGCCACCATGAATATTTCTTAAATCTTCTACCACTCTAACAACATGATCATCTCCAATAAAAACTCTTTCTTCAAGAGGTATAATTTGTATTAAGTATTTTAGATCATTCCAGAATTTTTCTTTAGAACCTATATCTAAACTTACTTGAGGAGCATAGACACTTATAACATTAAAAGTTTAAGTATCATCAACAATCTTAAGGGATACACCTACATCATTTCTAATGCAAATCCTAACTGAATACCAAAGTTTAAAACCTAAGCTATCAACATCCTTAATTTTCTCTTCAACACATTTAGTTTCTTCAATACATAATATATTTATGTTTCTATAAATCATAATATCAACTAATTTCATTAATTTACCTGCGAAAGTAGCTATATTCTAAGATTGTATCCTAATATTAGTTTCATGTATTAACGTCTTTACTCGCATCCGGTTATAATGTGAGACCTCTTGTTTATTTGAAACCACAATGAGACGTCGATGTAGCAACCCTCGCACACTTTTCACTGTATTCAGGTCATTCAGCGCATCGCTTCCAAGTGACACCCTAGCATATTGCACAAGGATCTAAATTATTCATAGCATGATTTTTCGATAAATTTTATGATAATTGTCGACAACCTACGCAACCCTCCACTTTTCACATCCAAGACTCGGGACCCGACAAAAGCAGTGTTCCAGAAAAAGCCCTAGAATTCAGCATAAATAAGTAAAAAAAAATTAAAAAGGAACAAATAATAGCAGGAGTTATTCAACATATTGTTTGCAGTATATCAATAGGTTTAGGGCAAAAAACGATTAGGAAAGGCATAAAGAGAGTTTCTGTTATAAAAGAGACAAACCTATGACCGTTTGAAGCTAATTAATGATTTTAGAATAAAAAACAAAAAAAAAAAGATAAATAAAGAGATTTTCTGTTACAAAATACAAAAGTATATGCCCATGATAGAAGATATCAACACAAAATTAATTACGACATAACAAAGTATTGAATGATGAAGCTACACATCTTCTAACAAGCTTCAAAATTAGTAGCCTTAGTCTTAGGTTTATTCTTTGATGTTTGCAGTTATTTTTCAGATGCAAAATGGTTATATAATAAGATACACAAAAATGTAAAATTACCAGCCAATCAATAAAAATCATATTTCATGCCTTCGGTCACAAGAACCAAAAAAAAGGATAAACGTATGCATGAGTTCACAAGTAAACCAGTGAAGCCGTAATTTGTAATTCAATCAAACAACAATGCTAGAGATTAAACAAAAGAGCAAATATGAACATAAGCAAAGAAAGAATGGTTTCTTCAATAAAATCTATTGACCTTCATTGGATGACCATCTTTTAGTTTTGTCAATTTAGATCATGAGAACGGTTAAGCCCTAGGGCTTTCAAGTGGAACTATAATGATGCAATGTATATAAATCATGCAATTGAACTTAAGATTCACCTATCGCAAACCACTAAATAAGCTACTACCTTATCTTCTTAAATGCAAACAGTAAATATGAGAAATGAAACTAAAAATATGATATAATCATTAAATCCAACAAATAAAATAGGATAAAATTTTAAATTAATATGATAACTATGATTAAATGGATGGATGGATGTACATATATGCGGCAAAAATCTGCCCACTGTGTGCCACTCGTACCATAGTATGCTCTGCTCGCTTGTTGAGGATGATAATGAAGATTATATTTTACGCAATTATAATGATTTTGATGAATACAATGAGACTTTTTTTTTTTACTTTTGATGATGATAACATTTTTTGTGAATGACTAGATCAATCACTTACTTTTAAAATATTACTAGCAAAAAAATTATGTATTTCAGATGTTAAGTAATTAAAGTATTAAGCACTTGACTCTAAATATTGTTTTTGTTATTTTATTATCATGTTGTTTTATTTTTTCTAGCTAATATTATTGCATACTTATTTTTAGTATTAATATTCTTTTAATAGTTTATGACATATTTAAAATTGCGCATCACGCCATGTGTTATAGCTCTATGGAGACCTTTGTACTATGGTGTGTCAATTGTCACTCACCATTGCTGAGCATAATTGCGTCATGCGAACAAAAAAAGAAGCACTAACTAAGCCAATAATAAAATATGTAGAAAAAAAAATAATCAACAAAAGAATTCACCAAAGTAATATGGGTTTCGATGGTACAAGGAGATGTCTTCCTCTACAATTATATGGACAAACCTGTACCGTACTCCAATGAAATGCACATCTAGGTTGCACGAATACGATTGAAACAAAATAAAGAAATTCTATTCAATTAAAGATAAAAATGTAAATGCCTTTAAACATCTTTACAGACTTCTCATCCAAAGGTTAATAGATTTGTCAGCATATATCAATTATATCTAATTCCAAATAACCTTCAAGTTCAAAATCAAACCTTAAGTAAAAAAAATCAAAAATTAGGGGGAAAAAATGCATAAGCTATTTCCTTATGAACAGAAATCTACACCTGCAAGGAATCTCGTGAAAACAAAAAATCGCAATTTGTAGCAAATGGCAACAAAGCAACTTCTCGACAACAGCACTCTGATGAAATGGCATGCAACCGACTTGCAAGTAGTAAATAGCAAGTGAAACAACAATAAGTACAAAGGTTACAATGTCCGCAGCCCCATCTATTGTAATAGCTCTTTGTTAGCAATATTTTAGCATATCTCTAGAGATGGCAGAACATTGGTAGAATATGGTTGGCAAATCCACTTTAGAAGCCAATTTTCCATTGGTACTCCCCTAAATTCTCAATAAAAGCTACAAAAAGAAGGATGTATTGCAGCCACTGCTTAAATACCATAATGTAATTAAACATTAGTAAGCCTAATAAGTCTAATAAAACACAAATTGTAATAAGAATTAATTACACCTTAATCGTGTCTGAGTGCCCGTTAATTATCTAACAGTCAATAATCCTTGGTTGAAATCTAAATAATCATTAATAACTCCAGCAAAATGAAAAATAGACATAATTGCTATAATAATTAATTACTTCATATTTAATTTAATAATAATTGAAAATTTTAGTTATTCCATATTAAATTATAATCAAACCCTAACTAATCCAATCAAGCACTAACTGCCAAATCAATGAAATCACATAAGAACTGTTGCAATTAGTCAAAACACACCAAATATGCCTAAGTAGTCAACTAATAAATCACAAATTCATCTATTAATTAAACTTAAATTGAAGCATGATTCTCCCTACTCCCTACTCCCTAACTAGGTCAACATTATAATATGTATCTACTACTTCTGGCTAATTCATAGTTTAATCTAAATACAAATTTACTCTACAAATGCGCTGATTGCTCAACTGCCAAGTGGTAGCTCAACATTTTTCAAAAATTAAGCATCTTGAATTTTGACAACCAAATAGTTTTCACCATGAAAAACAGCTGATTAAAGGAGAAGCAAGGTTACATATTGCGTGATTGGTCTAATCCTACTTGCAAACAAACATGCCCCAAGAAAAAAATAGCAATTATCAAAATACTAATGTATCTTCGAACAATGAAAATACCTCATAAAAGAAATCCTGTTCCAACAAAATTAATATCTACTAGATTAACATGTAATGAATCAAACAAAAGCAAATTCAATTGTTGGGCAACAGGACAGAAACAAATCAGGCGAATTAAACTCAGTAAATAGGAGGTATCAATTCTGAGGGAATCGAGGAGAAAGAAGGCAGCGAAGATTGAACTAAAAAAAGCAATAAAATTTTCTCTTCCATAAAAAGCAACTCTCAAAGACTCGCCTGCTTATACTGATGAAAAACCTCGTCCGCGCTTTTATGATTCAAATTAGATGGACTAAGCAGATTGATGGACCTCCCAAAGAAATGCAAGTAAATAACCAGGGCCATCCCATGCGCAGCAGCAGCCAGAGCTCCAACTGCCATAAGAAACCAATCCCACCCACACGCGCAA